GCCAAGGTCAGTGGGAGCCAGTGCAGACTGGCAGAGATGGGCAGCCGGATATGAGAGCCCGGCCAGTCAGAGAGCCAGGGTGAGCCAGGAGGTTTAGCTCAAGTTCCGGACACCCATCAGTCTTTAGTACAGTCTCTCAGAACACACAGGGAGTGGGTGGGAGAGTTTATATTTCTGTTTTTGAAAACTTGGTTTATGCCCTTTAATTAACGAGGGCAAAAGTTGTACTGAAATTATATGTGTGTGTGCTGATATTATCTATATAATAAGTTATATAGATAATGTAAGTGCATATATATATATTATTTCAGTTTCACATGCCAGGAGTTAAAACACAACTTTAAGGAACTTAAGTTTAGGGATTAACTTGAAGGATTAAGGAAGTTTCTAAGCACAGCTTGAATAGTGCCCAGATGAATTCAAGAGAGAGAGAGAGAGAAAGAGATAGATACATAGATGGATGGATGCATGGAGTTTCGCTCTTGTTGCCCAGGCTAGAGTGCAATGGTGTAATTGTGCAACAGTTCAGCTCACTGCAACCTCTGCCTCCGGGTTCAGGCAATTTCTCCTGCTTCAGCCTCCCAAGTAGCTGGGATTCCAGGCATCTGCCACCACACCTGGCTAATTTTTATAGTTTTAGTGGAGACAGGGTTTCACCATGTTGGCCCAGGTTGGTCTTGAACTCCTGACCTCTGGTGATCCACTTGCTCAGTCTTCCAAAGTGCTGGGATTACAGGTGTGAGCCACTGCACCCAGCCCGAATTCAAGATATATTGCCACAAATTATAAGAAGTGGATAGAGTTTTTCAAAATCATGGTCAAGGCTTTTATTTGATGTTGTTAGCACTGTGGCTTTGAGCTTGGGAGGATCAAAATGACTGGATTTAACATCAGATTGTGCCTTGATATGCTGATGACTTTTTCCCTTCAGGCAGGGAGGTGGATCTAGTGATGAATGAGTGAGGGTTTGTGAATTATCCGCTTCTTGGCTGGCGTAAGTCATCCTTTCCTTTCAGGGCTAGAATGGTGAACTCCAGGGCCTCTTGTACTCAGTGCATTGCTTGATCTGTGTTCATGTTCGTGGGGTAAAGGCTGGGGAGCATCTTAAAGTTGCTGCTGCTTCTCCTTTGTTGTTGTTATTGGTTATCATCACTCTTATTAAGGCTGCCGTGAACCTTCTGTTCATACTTGGTTCCATAGCACAGTGCTTTGCAACTCTATTCCGGGAAACGCATTAGGAAGACTGTAATTGGTCAAATAAATTTGGAAAACCACTGTCTACCGTATGTTTCTCTTGAAGGTTGACAATGTATCTGCCTTTGAAAGGCTCTGAGAATTCCTGCAGGGGGAGACAGTTTTCCTAGCAGTTTCTGAACTTGTTTGATCACATGACATTTATTTTCAGTAATATTTCTTACTAATTTCCAGTTCTGCTGGGACAGCTGGAGGAGGCCTGCCTCAGAATAAATTCTTACAGTGGAATTGTTGGGGCAAAGCATATGAACATTTATGTATGGTGGCCCGGAGCGCTGCAATATAGCCGCTTTATGTGTTGGGTAAGAGTAATCCAGGAGCGTTGAACTGAGTTCCCTACCACTCAGTAAACCCACTAAGTGGGCAAAATACCAAAACAGATTTTTATATTGAACGGGTCAAACACTTTTTTAAAATTCTGTAGTTTCTTCTTCTTACTTTGGCATTTGTGAAGAAGCCTCAGTTATTAAAAGCAAGATCCCTCAGGACTGTTTAACAGAAGGGCATTGTTCTACGTTGCATGAAATCAGTAGCATATTTTGTAATGGAACTTTGGAGTCATGTATTAATCTGTTTCTTGTTTCTAAGAGAGGTTGTTTGGTAACATGTCCTTTTATGGGTATCAGAGAAATACCAAAGGTGATGTGTCTTGACTGAAATCCCGTGGGGGGGTTGTCAGATAAAGCAGAACCAGGATTTCTTTAAAGGAGGGTCGCTGTACTGAGCCATCTGTTGCGCCATTACCAGAGAAAAATATTTTAATATATACATGGTGTAAACCCTACCTCTTACCTATTTCCAAAAAGGATTTATGACAAAGAGAAAACTCACAGCAGAACAAATAATTCTTCTAGAAGGTTGGAAGGCTCACCTGTGAAGCTCGAGGAGGTTATAAAAGGGAAGAGGTGCTTACTTAAAAGTCTTTAGGAATGACGGGGCACAGTGGCTCACGCATGTAATCCCAGCACTTTGGGAGGCCAAGGTGAGTGGAGCACTTGAGGTCAGGTGTGAGCCACCGTGCCTGGCCATCATAAGATCATTATTTTATGGTTTTTTTTAAGAGCTGAGGTCTCACACTATGTTGGCGAGGGTGGTCCCGAACTCCTGGGCACAAGCGATCCTCCCACTTCAGCCATCTCCTGAGAACAGCGGAGAGTGGATGTGACCGGGGATTCATGAGGCAGAGGAGGACCAGGTGGATATGCACGTTGAGCACTGGGGTTCAGGAGCTTCAGGGGGCTGTGGGAGGAAAGGCCCGAGGCTGAGGGTGGGTTTAGGAACTCCATGGAGAGCAGTTTGCTTGCCAGTGGGGAATCTGAGTCTTCTTTCCCCACCCCAGCTTCATTGGGTATAACTGACAAGATGGAATGTATTCAAAGTGTGCACTGTGATGTTTTGATATACATATACATGAGGAATGATTCCCACAGTCAAGCTAGTTAATAACATATCCATCACCTTACATAGTTGCCCACCCTTGTTTTGTGGTGAGAACACTTAAGATCTCTCTTAGCAAATTTCAAGTATACAATGCATTGTTACAGACTGTAGTCACACGCTGTGGAACTCGCCAGGACTTACTCACATGGCTGGAGGACACTACGCTAAGTGAAAGAAGCCAGGCACTGAAAGACAAATAGATCCGCTTATATGTGGAATCTAAACAGGTTAGAATTGTAGAAATAGAGAGTACAGTGGTGGTTGCCAGAGCTGGGGGATGAGGGGGCTGTGGGGGAGAATGGAGAGATGTTGGTCAAAGAGTCCAGACTTGCTGGAATGGGGGTTTCAGCTACTCGACAGATTGTTTTGAAAGCTATCCTGTCTCCTCCAGTCTTCCACACCTTTCTGTCTTCTCCCAGTACTGTACTGCACCTTTAAACCCAGGGATCTGTGTGCTCATGTATAACTGCTCCACGGGCTACCCAGTCCCCAGAGACCCCCGCCCCTGAGATCCCTGAGCCTGGGCCCCTGCTTGATCTCCAGCACATGCTGTAGCAGTAGCAGCCTCCCTGTCTGGGGAGTGGAAGCGTGCGTGGACGTCTGCTTTCTGCCTCCTCTTCACTTCTCGAAGGCTCTGCCAGGCTCTCTGCATCCAGTGTGTGTGGGCAATTCAGCAATTGTGAAGACTTAGAAAGAGCTTGAGAAATGCCAGTCTGCAATATTTCTCTTTTAGAAACAGTCCAGTGTAATACTTCCATAGTCCAGAGACGTTTTGTTATTTTAAATGTACTGCAATGTTTGAGGCCTGGGTAGGCAGACACTTACTAATTTGGTGCCAGCAAAAATGCTATAAAGAGAGTTGGACTGCTTATCTTAAATAAGAATCTTAAGGCCGGGTGTGGTGGCTCATGCCTGTAATCCCAGCACTTTGGGAGGCTGAGGCTGGTGGATCACCTGAGGTCAGGAGGTCGATACCAGCCTGGCTAACATGGTGAAATCCCATCTCTACTAAAAATAAAAAAATTAACTGGGTGTGGTGACACCTGTAATCCCAGCTACTCGGGAGGCTGAGGCAGGAGAATCACTTGAACCCAGGAGGCAGAGGTTGCAGTGAGCCGAAATGGGCGCCATTGCACTCCAGCTTGGGCAACGAGAGTGAAATTCCATCTCAAAAAAAAAAAAAAATCTTAAGAGAAATACTTGGCCATGGTAGACTAGTAATACATTTACTTTTGTTTTCTTTTTTTTTTTTTAATTTATTTATTATTATTATACTTTAAGTTGTAGGGTACATGTGCATAACGTGCATGTTTGTTACATATGTATACTTGTGCCATGTTGGTGTGCTGCACCCCATCAACTCATCATTTACATCAGGTATAACTCCCAATGCAATCCCTCCCCCCCTCCCCCTCCCCATGATAGGCCCCTGTGTGTGATGTCCCCTTCCTGAGTCCAAGTGTCTTATTGTTCAGTTCCCACCTATGAGTGAGAACATGCGGTGTTTGGTTTTTCTGTTCTTGTGATAGTTTGCTAAGAATGATGGTTTCCAGCTGCATCCATGTTCCTACAAAGGACGCAAACTCATCCTTTTTGATGGCTGCATAGTATTCCATGGTGTATATGTGCCACATTTTCTTAATCCAATCTGTCACTGATGGACATTTGGGTTGATTCCAAGTCTTTGCTATTGTGAATAGTGCTGCAATAAACATACGTGTGCATGTGTCTTTATAGCAGCATAATTTATAATCCTTTGGGTATATACCCAGTAATGGGATGGCTGGGTCATATGGTAATCTAGTTCTAGATCCTTGAGGAATCGCCATACTGTTTCCATAATGGTGAACTAGTTTACAATCCACCAACAGTGTAAAAGTGTTCCTATTTCTCCCACATCCTCTCCAGCACCTGTTGTTTCCTGACTTTTTTAATGATCGCATTCTAACTGGTGTGAGATGGTATCTCATTGTGGTTTTGATTTGCATTTCTCTGATGGCCAGTGATGATGAGCATTTTTTCATGTGTCTGTTAGCTGTATGAATGTCATTTTGATGGGGTTGTTTGTTTTTTTCTTGTAAATTTGTTTGAGTTCTTTGTAGGTTCTGGATATTAGTGTTTTCTTTTTTTTACCATCCTTTACTGTTAAAACTGTATGTGCAATATAAGAAATATTTGGCATAACAATGTGGATGTTTCCATTACAAAATACATGCCCCAGCACCGGGGGCTGCAGGGCAGAGGAATTCCCAGTGATGGTATCAGTCTGGTTCTGTCAACCTGCCATGTTTTTTCTGTCGTTGCAGGTGATTTTCAAAGCCAAGTCAAAATATTCTCCAGAATTACTCAAATACCGGTAAGTACCGGCGGGGCATCTCTTTCTGTGGTAGAAGGGGAAAGTGCTGACATGTGAGTCTCATCTCTCCGTCAGGGTTTGCACACATCGCTGCTCTGTGAGCGCCAGAAGCAGTCCTGCCTGCTGGCTGGCTGCCCACAAGCATCGTGTGCATTGCCGGTGACAGTCAGGTCATCGAATCATGACTTCATGAATCATGGGGGCTTGCATCATACTTACCCAGTTCGGAAACAAGAGCTGGTGCCTTTCCTAACAGGAGGAAACAGATGGGAATAAAATAGGTGTATGTTGCCTCTAAACCTTTCTGAGAAGTAAGAGCCTCAGCAGAAGGAAACAGGGTTCCTTGAAGATGCGGTGCTTTGCCAGGTGCTCCCCGTTCCCATCCTGCCCCTCCCATGCTCCCAGTGCAGGTGCAGTTGCAGGTGTAGGTGCAGGTGCGGCTGCAGCTGTGGAAGGGCCTTGCCCTGCAGCCTACCACCTGGTGGCCTTACGTGCCTTGTCTCAGCTGCTGGTAGGCTCCGGCTCCTTGTTTTCCGGAACTTCAGAGCCCATTGAACCTAAGTTGCTACACGCTACTTGAAAGGTATCCATCCACATCCAGAAATACGGTTCTGACCATTCAGTGCTCAGTTAGGCACACGAGGAAGAATGTATTATAGTTGAGAAGTGGACACTATATTTGTAAAGATGGCTTAACACAAAGGCTTGCAGAATCAGGCAAAGCAGGATATGTAACATGCCAAAAGCATGGACACCGGGAGGCATGGACATTTTGTGGAAGAAGAGAGGCTTGTGCCGGAGTGTAATCTGGAAGGGAACCTCTTAAGTTATGTGAAGAGGGGGATCTGCATTTTTTTTTTTTTTTTTTTTTTTTTGAGACGGAGTCTCGCTCTGTCCCCCTGGCTGGAGTGCAATGGCGCGTTCTCGCCTCACTGCAAGCTCTGCCTCCCGGGATCACACCATTCTCCTGCCTCAGCCTCCCGAGTAGCTGGGACTACAGGCGCCCGCCACCTCGCCCGGCTAATTTTTTTTTTTTGTATTTTTAGTAGAGACGGGGTTTCCTGACCTTGTGATCCGCCCGCCTCGGCCTCCCAAAGTGCTGGGATTACAGGCGTGAGCCATCGCGCCCGGCCTGCATTTTCCTATGTAGGGGTTCATAGCTCTCCCCAGATTTTCAAAGAGGCCTATGGCTTTCCTAAGGCCAAGAACCAGTGGCTTAAGAATAGTCAGGTTTGGCCGGGCATGGAGGCTCACACTGTAATCCCAGCACTTTGGGAGGCCAAGGTGGTGTGATCACTTGAGGTCAGGAGTTCGAGACCCAGCCTGGCCAACACAGTGAAACCCTGTCTCTACTAAAAATACAAAAACTATCTGGGCGAGCTGGCGCACATCTGTTGTCTCAGCTACTTAGGAGGCTGAGGTGGGAGAATCACTTGAGCTCAGGAGGCAGAGGTTTCAGTGAGCCAAGATTGCACCACTGTGCTCCAGCCTGGCAAGAGAGTGAGAATCCGTCTCAAAAAAAAAAAGGAATGGTCAGGTTTGACTGGGGTTGGGGGAGGAGAGCAGCCCTCTGGAAGAGGCGAAGGGGTGCAGTGTGAGTCCAGGGGTTCTGGCGTCTCTGCCCAGGAGAACTCCACTGCCTCTGGCAAACATTTCTGAAAAGGTGACTCTGGCCATCACCTCCTTGGGTCAAAATGAAAAATTATTTTGTCATTTTTTAAAATATGTTAATCGTATACATATTTTATTTAATATATATCATCTAAAAATACATAAAGACTTTTTACTTAAAATTCTGAAGGTGTAATAGTTTAATCCTGAGTTTATATCCAAGGAAACCAGTTCAGAAAGTTTCTCCTGAAGTTCAGAAAGTTCTGTGAAGGTGCCTGGGCCAAGATATAAGTCCAAGACTCACCATCCCCGGGTTTGTTTTGTTTTTCAACCTGATCTTGCTGGTCTCCCTTCACTGCTTTGCACGTGGCTCAGTTCACGTCTCTGCCAGACTCAGGTGGAACTTCAGCATCTGCTATGAATGATGTTAGTCCCAAGGAGAGCAATTTAAAGTGCAGGTTGAGTGTCCTAATTTGAAATGCTTGGGACCAAAAGTATTTCAGATTTCAGATTGGATTTTGAAATATCTGCATATACAGGCTGGGCCAGTGGCTCACTTCTGTAATCCTAGCACTTTGGGAGGCTGAAGAGGGTGGATCATTTGAGGTCAGAAGTTTGAGACCAGTCTGACCAACATGGTGAAACCCCGTTTCTACTAAAAATACAAAAATTAGCTGGGTGTGGTGGCAGGCGCCTGTAATCCAGCTACCCAGGAGGCTGAGATGGGAGAATGCGTAAGCCTAAGGGGTGGAGGTTGCAGTGTGTGGAGATCACGCCACTGCACTCCAGCTGGGCAACAGAGCGGATTCTGTTCAAAAAAAAAAAAAAAAAAAAAGGAAAAAGAAATATTTGTGTATACATAATGAGAGATGAGGGGATTGGATGGGACACAAGTCTAACATGAAATGTATTTTGTTTCAGATACACCTTATACACATCTCCTGAAGGCAATTTTATCAGTATTTTTAATAATTCGCATAAAACAGTTTAACTGTTTTGACTGCAATCCATCACATAAAGTCCGGTGTGGAATTCTCCAATTGTAGCATCATGTTGATAGATGCTCAAAAGTTTCAGATTTTGGAGCATTTCAGATTTTGAATTTTCAGGTTAGGGATGTTCAACCCGTATAAAGTACAAGTAGACAGTTCCCTCTCTTCTCCAGTAACAAATAGTAGCCTCGCTCTGCATCTATAGTCTTTGCCCTGCATGCCCCCAACCAGAAATGTACGTCAAAGCATGAGTGAAGATGGGTGTGGAGAACATTCTGTCTGATTAGATCATGGAACTGATTTTATCTTGGAAGCAGTTGAGGCTAGGGTAATTAAGTGTCTTCTAAAGGTGGAATATGAAAGCACTGGTCAGAGGGAAATTGTTTAAAAGCCTTTCAACCTCTGAGCACAAGGACTGGGGTCTTCAGGTGAGAAGATATGTGCGTGGGGCAGTCCTCGCTTGATCCTTGAGCCAAAGTGTACCTCAAAGACAGGCTGTGCTGACAGTTATGGCTGCATTTTATTGGGAAGGGATTTGCAGAAATGAAGGGAGAAGATGGGGAGAAATATAGTTGGATCCAGATGTTAAAAATGAGATGTTTGGGACCCGGCACGGTGGCTCATGCCTGTAATCCCAGCACTTTGGGAGGCCGAGGTGGGCAGATCACCTGAGGTCAGGAGTTCAAGACCATCCTGGCCAACATGGTGAAATCCCGTCCCTACTAAAAATAGAAAAATTAGCCGGGCGTGGTGGTGCACACCTGTAATCCCAGCTACTTGGGAGACTGAGGCAGGAGAATCACTTGAACCCAGGAGGTCGAGGTTGCGGTGAGCTGAGATTGCGCCGTTGCATACCAGCCTGGGCAACAAGAACAAAAACGCCATCTCAAAAAAAAAAAAAAAGAAAAAAAAAAGTGAGATGTTTGAGCCAGTGAAGTTGGAGAGTTCCTTGAAACAGGAGGGTGAGGTTTCAATGGGAGATGCCTGTTAACCCAGTCCTAGTGATTTTGTTGCCAAATGTAAAGAAATACTAGGAGTTATTCCTGTGTAGGCACATCTTTAGTCTCATCTATAGAATTCCTCAGTTCTCTTAAACCAGACGCCACTAGAGACATTTCAGGCCACAGTCTGTCCCTTGAGATGATTTGGTATGTTGGCTTCTAAATAGATTGGCTTCTCTAATTTAATCATGACTCCCTTGAAATAAAACATGAGCCATTGGTCTAGAACTAGTTGAAACTTTCCACTCCAATCTATTCCTGTGGTAATTCACTGGTTTTGAAGATAATTTATATTCAGCTCAGCCAAGAACCACTTTATTTTTCACTTAAAACCTCCTCTGCCCTCCCACATCTGCTAGCTCGAGTTTTGCTGGAGTGGAAGGCAGTTTGATTCAGGCTTTCTCTTTCTCAGTCTGTGTATTTTAATTTATTTGGTTTAAGAAATGTGAACATTGGGCATGGGAGTGCTCAAGAACACGTTGATTTTAAACATTTTCAACTGTTTGCCCTCTAGCTTTGTGATTTTTTAATAAGTAAAAAATATAGTGAGCCAGGTTTTCTTTTTTTTTTTTTTTAAAGAGACAAGGTCTCAACCAGGCTGGAGTGCAGTGGCGGTGGTGCAGTCATAGCTCACTACAGCCTTAATCTCCTGGGCTCAAGCGATCCTCCTGCCTCAGCTTCCTAAGTAGCTGGGAATACATGTGTACGTCGTCGCTACATCCAGCTACCAAAAAAAAAATTTTTTTTGTAGAGACAGTGTCTTGCTATGTTGCCCAGGCTGGCCTTGAACTCCTGGACTCAAGCAACTCTCCCTCCTCGGCTTCACAGAGTGCTGGGATTATAGGTACACGTCACCCACGCCTGGCCTGCTTTTCCGTTTCTTTAAGTGAAAAAGCAGTGGCTTATGTTTGTAATCCTAGCGCTTTGGGAGGCTGAGGTGGGAGCATCACTTGAACCCTGGATTCAAGACCAGCCGTGACACAGAGCAAGATCCCATTGCTACCAAAAAAAAAAAAAAAAAAAATCAGCTGGGCATGGTGGTGCGCGCCTGTATTCCCAGCTACTCAGAATGCCGAGGTGAGAGACTTGAGCCTAGGAGATTGAAGCTGCAGTGAGCTGTGATTGCACTACTGCTCTCTAGCCCGGTGACAGAGCAAGACCTGACCCCCCCAAAAAAAAAAAAAAAAAAAAAAAAGGGAAGAAAAGGGAGGGAACAAAAAGAGAAAGGAAGAAAGGAAGGGAAGGAAGAGAGAGAAAGGAAGGGAGGGAGGGGAACAGAAAGAGGAAGGAAGGAGGGAGGGAGGGAAGAAGGAAGGAAGGAAGGAAGCGATGGTATTGAGAGATACATTTAAAGCATGCTTTACAGCCCCTTGCTTCTGTCGCCTCCCAGTGGGAGGTGGTCAGGCGCTGCTGTGTTGGCTGCCTT